CGCGTCATTAGCGCAGTCGGGTCAGTGCGCGGATTGTATACGAGTGCAGAAACTATTACTGCTACCTATACACCAATTATATACATATATATAGCGACGAAAAAATAAATAAAAAAGCGCAGTCGTATATAGAGATAACGAAAAACGAAAAGTTTTTTTTCCAAATTTTATTTCGTATTTCGCGTTGTTCGTGGCTTTTTTTTTATAACCGTCGTCGCACGATATTTTAATTAAAAAAAAAAAAACACAAAAATATAATACGACGACAACTTACACTACTGCACATAACGACAAAAGAACATAAAAAGAATGAAAAGGAAACATAATAATATTTTTATACGCTCAAAGTAGCGGCGCGAGGAGATGGAGGACGACGATAATATAATGTATATATAATTTAATGGGAGCTGCAGCTGTCCTAATAGGACAAAATATAATAATATTATCGTAATATAATATTTCGCCGGCGTTTGTAGGAGTCGCGGGGGGAGGGAGAAGACCCGCCCACCCCTATATATGTATATATAATATTATACCCTTAAAACGATATATACAATAATATAAAGGTATATAATATGGACGAACTCGGGACACGGAAAACTCGGCGACTTTTCGAGTGCTCGCAATATAAGACACGAAATGTAAATAAGGGACGAAGACGGTGACCGGAAACAGGGCGTATAAAATATCCGTTTCTTGGAGTTATTATTTTCGGCGGTAATTGAAAATCCACCCTCGCCGCCGCCGCCGCCGCCGCCATTCCGGCCAGAAATTTATTTATTTATTATTATTATTATTATAGCCGCCTTCGTCTCGCGCTTTATTATATTGTCGTGCTCGCCGAACGGCAATAAACCTCTCCCGATATATTATTACATTATTATTATACTTTGTATTTTATAGGGCGGCCGTTTTTAATGTTCATTAAACCAATTCGAGGACTTATATACGGCCGCGCGGGCACCTAGTAAATTTCCGCAGCGTCCCTTTTATTATGGCGTATTGTTTATTATATTATTATCGTTATAATATGCCTACCTATACCTATATATGTGTATACACAACTTCCCTTCACCCTAACGCTTATTTAATATTATTGGTTTATTACCTTTATACACCTACCTACATTTGACGCTTTTTCACAATATAGTAGCCTTTTGTCGTTTTGTTCTTTATCGAGATATAAACAAATATACAACTCCACGTTTTTGAAATACAACATTTTAAACGTATAATTGTTTTTAATGTGACTATTTTATATTGTAATTAACGCTACTACTTGAATTATTGATAAGCCGAAAGTGTCATATGCATAAATAAAAATAAATGTGACTACCTATTACTGAATCATTTTCTTTTTTTAGACGATAAGCTAACAAATTTTGTATACAAATACCTCAACCAGCAATGGTTTTTAAAAATACGAAAAAGTATATAAACAAATTTACAAATATTTTATCACAAAATCAAAATAATATTGTGGATCGTTTCCCTCAATATTTTTCTAGCGTCCATGTAAATCAGTTTGCTTCAACCACAATTACTCATCAGTTATCCATTATAAGTTCAGTTGATGTAAATCTTAACTCCTGTGTTTTAAATATTACAGACGTTATAAATAAGTTGGATAACATCACTAATAAAATGAGTCATGCTCCTGATATGATTCCAAGCTGTTTTTTTTATAAATTGTAAATACGGTTTAGCTGTTCCTCTACTACTTTTATATAATTTATCACTTTCTAGTGGTTGTTTTCCATCAAATTGGAAAATAAATTTTGTAAAGCCTGTTAATAAAGGAAAAGATTCAACTAATATAATTAATTATCGGCCTATTTCTACTACTTCAATTATTCCCAAATTATTTGAATCCATCGTATCTGAAAAAATATATCCAATACTTAGTTCTCTAATAAATGATGATCAACATGGTTTTTTGAAAGGTAAATCAACAACGACAAATCATTAAATTTTTCAAAAATATATACTAGATGCATTTGCTCTTGGATATCAAGTAGAAGTAATTTTTACAGACTTTGAAAAGGCTTTTAATAAATTAAATCGAAATATTCTTTCAAATAAGCTGCATTCTATTGGTATTCGTGACCCTTTTTTGTCATGGTTGATTTCTTACATAACTGACAGAAGGCAGATTGTTAAACTAAACAATGTTCACTCAAATTCCTTTAATATTCCATCAGGTGTTCCATAAGGATCTCACTTAGTCCCTTTGTTACTTATATCATTTATTAATGATTTACAATTTCTTAATTCCAGAAAATTATTGTTTGCTGATAATATGAAAAATGTTCGTTTAATAAAATCGTATTCTGATTCGGTTATCCTACAAAATGATTAAAATACGCTAACGGATTGGTGTAATCAAAATAAATTATCATTAAATATTGATAAGTGTAAGGTGATGTCTTTTACCAGGTCTCGTTCTCAAATTATATATGATTACTCCATAAATAATATTGTACTTCAGAAAGTTTTTGATGTTTGCGACTTGGGTGTTACATTTGACTCAACTCTTACTTTCAACAAACATTATTTAAACATTCCAAAAAAGTCATCTTCAACATTAGGGTTTATAAGTAGGACATGTAAAGATTTTACAAATTCCTATGCGTTGAAAACTATATATTCTTCTCTAGTACGTGATATCCCTCGTTCACCTCACTCAGAGTACACACCATTATTAATCAAATTAAATATGATCAGTCTAGCTGTAAGGAGAAATATTATTGATTTGAAGTTTCTATGTAAAATAGTAAACGGTCTTATAAACTGTCTTGAGTTACTCAGTAGCTTAAATTTTAATGTTCCTCAATGTCGAACTAGATCCAAAAAAACGTTTTACATTCAATTTCAAAAGACAAATTATGCACTTGTCTCTCCTTTAAATAGATTAATAAAATTAGCTAATGATGTCCAGGTTGATTTATTTAATTTTCATGCTTTTGATGGTTTTTGTGATTATATTACCCATTCATTATACATATTATTGTATTATGTATATAATTTTATAATTTATATTATTTATTAACTATAATAGTTTAGGCTGAAAGTTCTAAAATGAAAAAAAAAAATTATTTATTATTTTATATTTTTTATATTTTATATTTTATATTCTTTTATTATTATTATTATTCTATCAAGATATTATTATTTATTTGAATTATTATCCTAGATATTTTTGAAACGAAGTTTTTATTATTATATTAAGACATTATTATTATTTTATAATTCTCTTATTTGTTTTTGTGATTATATTACTGTCATTTCAGTCTACTAAATAGATTTAAGTTTACTAATGTAATAACTATTAATTTGTTATTGGGTACATCCCGTTTAAATTAAAATAAATAAATATGAACTGCAAGTAGGTAGGTAGGTATATTATAATACAATGAACACACAGTTTCGGTTATAAAACGAGAGAAACTACGTCACATTCTTCCCCGCGAAATTCCCGTTTTACACTCGTATTACGAAAGAATATTATCATAAACATATACATAATAATAGTAATATATAATATCATTATGATTATGTCGATTTATCCTTTTGGAATTAGCATAGAAATGGAATCCGCTTGACGCTTACTTTTGATGTTCTGTATAAACATAATATATTATTATAATATATAATATACTAATATACTCAGTAGATGTTATATTATTATTTGTAAATGTCATATTATATTATGTGCACGCACGCGCTTAACGATCAACGTCAGACAACGAATCATATGATATGAAACAAAATATTATATTAAACTATACTATAATATTATACCTACGTGGCTGGTAAGTCATGAGTATTTTTTTTGATTTAATGCGATGGTTTTCAGAGGGGTTTTTCTCGTAGTGGTGGCGGGCGACGACCTATATCGGATCAGATACCGTGGTTGAATTTGAATTTGCTTCAAACTCTTACAATGAAAATATAAATGCAAAGCTCCGCGTTTTAACGAAAACGCACACTTTTTGAAGGCTAAGTTGCAAAAAAGCAACAAACGTTAAACGCATGCACTATGCACCACATACGGTGTCGGCGACAAGATGGATATGCCTGTGGAGGCCATTGTCGTTTGCCTCACTTCAGTCGAGTTCGAGAGAGTAGGCCGCGGCGAACAGAAGGGACAACATATCAGCAGTTTGCTCCAACACAAACATTGTAAATACCTCCAGTCTCTTCGATTGGAGAGTCGAGAACCACGTGATCACGTTAATACCGGGTAGTTGGTGGGGGATGCACGGAATTGACGAGAAAAGGTCTGATTATTCTCTCGTGGAATAGACTGTAGGCTCAATACTAGAGACAAAAAAAAATGAGACTGACAGAAAAATAGCGTTCAGAATTGGATCAGGAAATAAATGTTTTTATGGACAGTAAACCAAAACTAGGATGTATAACCTGAATACGTCCAGTTATCACTTATGGGGCAAAGGCCTGTATCCTAAGAATGACTGAGAAAAGGAAACTCCTGGTTTTTGAATAGAAAACCTTGAGGAAGATTTGTGAGCCAGTGAAGGACGAAGGACCGGGAGAGTGGAGAGAAAGGAAAAATTATGAGCTGGAAACATTCTGGAAGGAAAATATATTAGTATAATCAGAAACCGAAGACTTCAGTGGGCTGGACATGCTTTGCGAAGCCAGAATTAATTCATAAGGGTGATCATGGACGATAATTAATTTGGGAAAAGACAACTGGGGTAACCCAGATTGAGGTTGAAAGATATTATAATAAAAGATGTGAAGGAACTAAAGGGAGGACTGGATTGGAAATCAAGAGCTGCTGTTAGGGAAGGCTGGGAAATTGGATGTGTGACGGGTTGGTTTTGATAGCTGACAAACCCAAGAAGGAAAAATATTATTTATTTTTATATAAAAAAAAAACAAATAGCGTATCTGTGCAATAAAAATAAATAAATAAACGTATCGTGAACATGAATATTGATTAAAACTATTAAAATATAATTGTTATTTAATGTTCAATCGAATTCCCAAGGTCGCTTCACCTCTACAATTACAGAACCACCACCATATACTTCATGGTTTTTGGTTAAATAACCACTAAATCTGTATGTTCCGTAAAAAAAAGTCTTGGCAAAATTGGCTAACATGAGATCAGCAGTATCTATGCCAGATCCTTTATAAAAACCCTGGGAGCATAATAAACATGATTTTTAATTTTTTTAGCGACCATCTTATACATAGTAATATTTTGCATAATAATAAACAATTAAAAAATATTATCAATATTATGGGTTATGATGATTTTTTATTTGTTATATCAAAAAATGTTTATAATATTATTTTAATTTATATAATATTTCCATACCGCGGGAATAGGACAAGTAGTGTTGTATATTCCTAAACCATCCATTACTTTAGTCCAAGCACCACCAAGGATCATTTTAAGCGTCGTGTAAGCTTTGGGTGACTTATAAATAAAAGCATTCTCTTTCCAACCACCGATAGAATCTTTTACCGCAAAATCGCATTCCAACTATAAAGAAAACATTTTATTTAATTTGATCAAAATCGGATAGACTATAAACACAATAACACACGATTTCACAATTTAAATTTATTCTTTGAGGTAGGTACTCAAATAATTTTTGTGAACCATGTAAAATTTTCCCAATAACATATTATTTAATACTATTATTATTATTAATTACATTTAAATTGAATAACAAAATTGACTATACTTACATTAAAGGAATCATCCAATGGTACTAAAAATGTTGTGTTTCCTAGAATTTCTGTGGTATTGACAGATTTTTTACTAAGATACAATTCAAATTTTATTTTATTATTCGTCCGGTCAGCAGCAGAACGTATTATTGCCAAAAAATTTAGTCGGTATTTACCCTGGAAAAAAATATTTAATCGTATTAATTAACATCATATTATAGTATCTATTGGCTGTTAGAGAACATTTGTTCGTTACAATGTGATGGTTTCTAATGGATTAATTAAGACAATTGACACAGTAAAAAAAATGTTATCAAGTAAATATACTTACAACTGGCAATTGTGGTAAAAACAAGGGTCTACCTCTATCTGAAATAACAACAGTTACAAAAAACACAAGATTAATTAGTAACAAACTCTTCATCTCTAACATATTTTTACATAAATTTCAACTTATCCAACCCAGTTTATTTTTCAACTGTTAGTCAGTGTCGAATGAAGGCGAGTCCCCTTGCCACGGCAACTAACTATATATATATTACAATTTATGACGAATTATGGAATATCATGATTTAAATGAATTGTAACTGATGATTTTTCCTTTGTAATTATAAATTATACGAATATTATTTTTGTTTATTAACCTTGCTTTCAGTATTGTTGCAGAATAGATATGGCTACCACCATAACGAATTATTGTTATAAAAAGATTATACATTTTAGATATTAGTATCTGAACATTAAAACTAATTAAACATAGATAATTTGGCATTGTTATAATATTTTCAATTTTGTAAAAATAATATTTTATGTTTCACTATCCGAATTACCCGGCGTTGACCGGAAAATATGGTGATGTCCGTGAGATTCGCATGTGATTATGCGAGCAGTATATTATCAGGAAAGCAATCTGACCCCGCTTAGTGCGTACGTGAGTGAATACTGTATAGTTACACTCTAAAGTTATACCAAGTTTGCCGTTTTTACTTAATTCAACCTACGGAGGATTGTATACAATCTGGTGGTTTTTCATCCAGTGGCGTCAGTTGGGAAGAGGGGGAGGGGGGGGGTGGCAGTTTGAGAATTTTTCTCTTCTTGTGATTTTCGGGCCACTGTCGGCCGGGTAGGGTCTAGTTTTGGGCCTTCATATGGTAGCTAATAGGTAATATTGTTATCTACATAATATGTATTAATTATTTAGTCACTGTCAACTCTCAAAAAAATGGGTTGTTTATGCCTATCATAGTAACCAGTTACCACTAACCACGGTTATCTAAGATACCATTGATAGTTATTAGTAAATATAAAATTATGTTAGAAGGTTATTTGTATTGAGATAAAAATACAATCGTAATGTAATGTAATGTAATTGTTAGGGCTTGTTTTTTTTTCAGTTTTATTATGGGCCGGTCAAAGATTTTGCCCCCCTCTTAGTAATTTAAATTCCACCACTGTTTTCATCGTCTGGAAAAATCCACGTAACCTAACAGTTAAGGTTTTAGAAAATACCATTGGAAATACAATACATTCATCACTAAGCTCTGAATCTATACATAAACAACAAATGTAGAAAACATAAAATACCTCTATATATAGCTCAAAAAGAATAGTATTGAATTATAGTAAAGATAATAATAAGCCAAGAAATGTTATAGTTGTGATGAATATTTAATGCAAAAAAATCCGAACTTAGATTACAATAATTTAAATAAATATTGTACATATCATATTAATATTATAACTCCAATAATTTCTAAAATCATGTGTAAATACATTAACGTAAGCATGTACTAAACACAAATCACCACCCATTGTAAATTGTTAATTAGTCTTAGGAAGGAATCGAGCACAAGCGACGTCAGACAACGTTCCTTCAAGTCGAAGATGATGGACTGGATTGGAAAGCAAGAGCTGCTGATAAGGAAGGCTGGAGAATCGGATGTGTAGTGGGATGGTTTTGATGGCTGACAAACTCAAAAAGGAAGAATATTGTTTATTTTTATATATAAAAATAGCATATCTGAGTAATAACAATAAATAAATAAACGTATCGGGAACATAAATAAACATGATTTTGAATTTTTTGCGAACCTGTTATACATAGTATATTGTGCAAAATAATAAGCAATTAAAAAATATTATTAATATGAGGTTTTGATATTTTTTATTTGGTATACCAAAGAACTTCTGAGTTATGAAGAACCATGTATCACATTTTAATTGTGGACCCAGTGGACACAGTGGAAAGAGTCAAAATATTAAGAATATTAATTGTAGTAAATGATAAAATTTGGTGAAAAATTTAAGTATCTGTGGTTATTCGTATTTGGGCTAATTTACACCAAAAAAACAATATCAGTTTAGGAGTAAGTAACGATTTTGAAAAATTACCATTTTCTCCTATTTATTCCCCAGCTTTATTAATGCACAAATTATGAAATACTTTATTTTACAAAATTATTTTAGTCCATTATTTTAGTCCAAGCACTTCCAAGGAACATTTTAAGTGACGTGCAAGCTTTAGGTGACTTATAAATATAATCATTCTCTTTCCAACCACCAATAGAATCTTTCATCGCCAAATCCAATTCTAACTATAAAGAAAACAATTTATTTAATTTGATCAAAATCGGATAGACTATAAACACAATAACACACGATTTCACAATTTCAGTATTTTATTCTTTGATGTAGGTACTCAAATAATTTATGTGAACCATGCAGGACAACGAATGAGTGTCAAAAAATTTAGCCGGTATTAACCCTGGAGAAAAACATTTAATCGTATTAATCAACATCATATATAACAAAATAAATGATAGTTAATCTAATTTACCATATAAAATACCATACAATTGCCCCCCCGACCTTTTTATTGTTCTACTGTCATTCAGAGTCAAATGATTTTTGGAGACCAAAAACTATATTTTGCTTCCGCAGTATGCATATTATCATTATTTATTGACCTTGTTTTCCCTATTGTTGCAGTAGATACTTAAATCATAACACGTAATATCACACTGATATTATTATATATTATATTATATAACGTTAATTATAGTGTATGATTTCATTTGATGATAATTAATTCCTAATAATATTCACGAATCTGAAGTACTTACCTTTTTTTTCCTAATACAAGATACAAGCATGGTATACAATGATTGATACCCAATTTCAAGGTAAATGGATAAAGGTCATGCTTAACATTAAGTTTAATAATGATAAAATATATAATAATAATTTATTTTGCCAGAATTCGCTATTAATTTTCTTAAAATAAAATTATAGTGGCTTGGCGTGGCGCGTTGGCTGCTATCAGTCGCGGAATTCGACTGGGAGTAAGTAACGGCCACAGCTACTAGCTCCCGGATGGGTGACCACCCGGGTTCATAGTAGTTAAAACCTTGTAAAAACCTTGCCAGACATAGGTACACGTGTTTGTTACCTACCGTAACAACCGTAAAAACAATCGTAAAAACAACCTACCGTACCAACCTTACCCCTACCACAGTCCATAACCCCTAAATCAGCTGCTAATGGTCTTAGTCGACGAGCTTAAGTTCAATAAAAAAAAATTTAAATTATAAAATTAAAACGATATAAACAAATATGCACATTGTACGTCTATATGAGAGGGTATGAAATAATTATGTATCCATTGAAAAAGAAAATATTAAAAATTATTCTAAAAAACATACAAGATACTTATATAATTAGACGAATGTAGGTACAACCAGTAAAGAAAATATTTGATAAAGCTTCGTTAGTTCACATAATTAAAAATAATCTTACTTTTAAACTGAATGCGTACATAATAGTAGACAAATATATAATAACATAATATAGTACCAACTATGGACAAATAATTAACACACTTTGTATGTCCTATATATAAAATTATTCTCCTTCCAACCACCTGCAAATAGATTCTTTTACCGCAGGAAAGAGATACAAGTGCACATATTTCTGGCGTGATTCTTACGAAATTCAAATAATGTCACTCTTATATGGTTTCGTAATTTATATTTTATATTTATATCATACAATTATATATTCTACACATACAGTTATTATTATTATATAATATTTAACAATAAAACATAAAATATAAAATAAATTCTGTTTTATTTTTATTAAATATACAGGACAAACCCCTTTGAACATATATACACAATATAGGTACATAAATACACTTTAGTTGTACAGTTTATAAATTATAATATGATATTAAAATTAATAGCTAGATAGTAATTTATATGTATAAGAAGACACGAAGGGTCGACGTTGGCATTTTACATAATACGTCCAATAGGTTTATTTTTAAGATAACTAGTGGAGGAGAAAGAAACATAAAAAGAAGCAACAGCTCGGGAATGACGTTGAGGAACTCTAATATAAATTAAGGAATAAGCAAATCAGGAGAATCAATATAACCTTGTCTCAAACTGTTCAGGAACATAATGCTTGAGATACGTCCACGCTGAGCTAGCGAAACCAACAAAGTTCGACTTTTGGACGGATTTTAGTTTATTAGATACTAGAAAACAAAAGGTAAGGTATCGAATTAAAACGATTAACTATATTGATAAAATAAAAGCCGTCAATTATATCACTATAGGCAATAAAAAATGATCTATATATTCTGAGTTACAAAATGCGAATATTGGTATTTCAACTCCAAAAGGCATAAAATTAAATGAAAGCAATTTACATAATGATCCATCTATTATACTAAATGAATTGTAACCAATAGGTGCCTATACAATTCATAACATAAAAAAAAAATGTAATATGTCATGGGTAATAATATATATACTAATCCGCAACAATACCGAAAGCAAGGTCAACGAACAATAATGATTATATAAATACAAAATATTATTTATAAAGTTTAAAAAGCTAAAGTAACATTAGACTAAATATGATTTGACTCGGAAGAGCTGTTGAAAAATAAACTGCGTTGATACTTATGTGGTTACAATATTGAATATTTTAAATCAAAAATGAAGTGTTTGCTAATCAATCTTCTTGTTTTTGTTATTGATGTTAATTCGGATACAACAAATAGACCTTTGTTTCTACCACGATTACCGGTTGTAAGTTCTTAATTAGGCAAATCAGTCAATTACATTGCACCAAAAGAATGGCCTCTAATTCTGTATAGGTACGAAACAAGATGCAGCTTAAAACGGTTTTATGATTTTCTTCAGGGTGAATATAAAATAAATGTCTTAGCAATGTTATCATGTGAATCGGCGAATTATCGATTTAAATTTAATTATTACCTAAGCAAAACATCTGTCAACACCATAGAATTAAGAGGAAACTCAACCTTTGAAGTACCACTTGATGATTCTTTTACTGTAAGTATAGTTATTATTATTATTAAATTGTTAAATTTCTCTTGAAGTAAGTTAAGTATTTATAATTAATAAATCATTCATAGTAATATATTATAAGATAGAATTATTGTTGAACCAATTATAAATTTGACATTTTGTTAACCTAGTTCTCAAATAAAAGTATTTACTAAAAATATCGACTTCTGAATTTTATTGTATTGATCTGATTTTGGCAAAAATATTTTTTTCTTTATAGATTGAGGTCAATGTGGCGGTAAAAGATTCTGTTGGAGGTTGGAAGGATAATGCTCATATTTTCAAGATACCTAAAGCTTGCTCGTCACTCAAAATTTGTGATTGGCAAAAATTGGCAAATTTTAACTTTACACTAAGTTAAGTTATTTTTTTTTCAAAGTTAACTATTAACTTAATGAGTTAACGAAAAAAATTACGAGTAACTTTTATCTTAACTTAACTTATTATTTTAAAATAACTTAACTTAAAGGGTTAAAAAAAATCGTTAACTTGCCCAACCTTGTCAAAAATTGTATTATTTCTAGGAGAAAATGCTCAGTGTAGTAGTGAAGCAGCAAATATCCCTCTGATACGTTTATGTGATATTTCTCCGATTATCATAATATGTGATAAAACAACATACGAACTTCGTGACAGCATTCTGTCAGGGAAAATTGAAACTGCGTCATTCAATCGGTCATTATACGCGAAGCGTGTTACAAAAAACTGGGAGTTGTATGATGACCTTAAAACTAAACCTGTGCCAATTAAGGACACAACACGATAGTGCCATGTAAAATTTTATTATATTATACTATTTAAACCTAGGACTTTATCAAATAAACTTTTTTACATACGTTTAACTTAAGTAAAGTATTCGAAACATAATTCAACTATTTTATTTCATTGAAAATAGTTAGTTAAACATACAAATTATTTGTAAAATAAAGATATTGGTAATTTGAAATATTTATTCTATATTATTTTTTTAATTGTCATGCCCACCTATTTGATATAATATAATTATAATACCAATTAGTTCAATATTAAATATAGGTATCTATGTAGGTATCTACTAATCCGCAACAACAATATCGAAAGCAAGGTCAATGAACAATAATAATTATATAGATACAAATTATTATTTATCAATTAATTATTTTTTGGGGGACGAGGTGGCCGAGCGGTCTAACGCGTCGGCTGCGGCGCTGGCAGTCGCGGGTTCGATTCTCGACCACTGGGCGGCATTTTTCTCCGGGCAAGTCACGGTGTCCGGAAAACAAGTGCCGCCATCCCCCACTCCGGGGCATGGCAGAAACCTACGGGTGCCCCATTCAACATTCTGCCAAAATACACCCACGTGTAACACTCACCAGCTACCGTTAAAAACCTACAGTTCCAACCCCACTCCCAATGGCCTAAGTTGCCGCGGGATAATTAATTTTAAAAAAAATTAAAAAAATATTGAAAGCAAGGTCAAAGAACAATAATAATTATATAGATACAAATCATTATTTATCAAATTTAAAATGCTAAGGTTACATTAAACTGAATAGCATTTGACTCGAATGATCAGTTGAAAAATTAACTGTGTTGATACTTATGTGGTTACAATATTGAATATTTTAAATCAAAAATGAAGTGTTTGCTAATCAATCTTATTGTTTTCGTAACTGCTGTCAATAATTCAGATACAAGGAAACCTTTGTTCTTACCACAATTACCGGTTGTAAGTTCCTATCTTATATTAATAATTATATATTTTTTTAAGTGCCAATCGTCTCATTTAATTCATATTCCATTATCAACTATCACTGTCTTGTAAAAGAATGTTCACTATGCTCTCTTACATAATAATTATAATATTCATATACACAGATATAACACAATATACTTGAAGTTTAATACTGATTAAAATTATTTTTAATTGTTCTTAAGGGTATATACCGACTAAATTTCTTAGGAGTTACGCGCTGTGTTTCCGACCAGAGGAATGAAAAATTCAAATTTCAATATTACTTAAGCAAAAAGTCGGCCAACAAAACAGAAATCAAAGGAAATATTACCAATTACATTCCATTTGATGATTCTTTTAATGTAATTGTTGCTATTTTTATTATTAAGTAGTATATTTTATCTTGATATGACTTTGTTTAGTTTTTATTATTATTATTAACTAGTATATAACTTAATATACAATTTTTGATTGAACGGATTATTTAAAAAAAATTAATTTTGGGGATTTCTACATGGTTCACAAAAATAATTTGAGTACTTAATTCATCGTCTTCTGATCTTATTTCGGTCTAAATAAATAAATTTGTTTTCTTAACAGTTGGAATTCAATATGGCGATAAAAGATTCTATTGGTGGTTGGAAGGATAACGCTTATATTCATAAGTCACCCAAAGCTTGCTCGACACTCAAAATGTTCCTCGGAGATGCTTGGATTCCTGTAATGCAGAGTTCAGGCATCCAAAACGTCTCTTGTCCTGTACCAGTGGTATGGAAGTGTTAACATAGACACATAGTTACAATAATATTTATAATTAAATCAGTGGAGTGGCGAGGCCGTTTTTTTGGGAGGTGGTGCACAGGCGCGGACTAGCTGTGATTCTGGGATGCTACAGCATCCCTTGCCCTATAATATATTTGAATAATATTATTTATTAAAAGACTCTAGACACCTAATGAACAGCAGATCGCTACCAGTGGCGTGGTGAATGGGGTTTTATGACGCCTAGGTGACATAGCGGATTTTTTTTTTATGGAGGTTGGGGTGGTTGGGTACATTATTATGGTAACCAATAACATACAACAAAAATAAAAATATTTACCGTCACATAATAATTATATGTACTATAATATATTATATTAAGGGGATAAAGAGGGGGTAGGTACTGAAATATATGCTGGGAATCAAGGTTTAGAAATGTTCACCACGCCACTGATCACTACCAACTTACGATTATTAGTCATCTATACCTAATATTGTACAATTTTGATTGAAAGTTTATTGTAACTTGGTAATTTACTTTTTAACATAATATATTCAATATTTTTTTTAAACAAAATAAAATATATTAATATTTTATAAATAATCTACATGTTTTAAATTTGTCAAAACAATTTTAGATCCTGAGCGGACCGTATTGATTTTACAATGATGTGTGTTTTTTTTTATTTTTTTTTTTTTGTGTCTGTTATCACCTTCTAGGACAGTAAAAATGCTTAAATTTTCTTCAACGTTATCTTTGCTGATAAGAACGTGAATATAGCTGTTACTTTGGGGGGTCAAAAGTAAAAATTTCTCAGTAGTTTTCAAAAGCGCAGTGAAAAACAAAAGAAAATTAAAGAAAAACGAGGATTAATATTATAATGTTATAATTTTTTTTTCGTTTCTATGGTGATAAACAAAGCTTTATAAATTAAATTCCCATTTTTAGAGGTTTTCCGTTATTTTTCGGTGGTTTTTCCAGTGGCATTACGTATAAATATTGAGAAAATCGAAAAATTACCTCTCTAAAGTACCATCTTGATTCAATTTGCTAAAAGATAAGGTACTATATGTTGAAATTTTGTAAACAGGATATAGAAAAAAAAAAACACCATTGAAAAATCGCTAGTTTCCTCTCTCCGCTCAGAATCTAAAAGTATTTAAATGCCATTCAAACACTTCGAAATAAAGATAATTTAAAAAAGTATTCAATAAGGAAAAAAGTACATATTTGAATACTTTTACTCAAATGCTTTACAAAACTGCCAATCTCTATTCAAAACTAGTTTTTAATACAACTATAGTTTATTATTACTTTTCAATTGCAATGTACAATTATACCTACATCAAACACATAATATTATATACCTATTATCGCAATTTTTATATCAATTGCACAGTTTAATATTATTGAAATTGTATCAAATTGCTTATAACAATTATTAACAATGCACAATATATATTTATAATATGATATGTAATGTAACTAATGAAAATAATATGGTTTATATTTCCAGGGTTTTTACGAAGCTACTGGCATAGATACTGATCTTTTCGGTACCGCCAATTTTCCAAAAACATTATTTTATGGAACTTACAGATTTCGTTTTTCTATTTCCAAAAAGGATGAAGTCTATGGATGTTTTATACTAGTTTTAGAGATTAAGCGGCCGTGGGAATCTAATAATTAAATATTAAATTACCATAAAATAGTAGCACAATTATTTAATCATTATCAATGTTCATGCAAATTCTTAACATTGCAATATTTGTTGACTTTAAATTTATGTCTATGTTAGTACACTTAGTTACATATATATACAATTATTGACTGTGATCCAATACTTAACATGGTTTATATAGTTTCATTATTTATATTATATATTTATAACATAATATTATTTAAATCTAGAAGAGAAAAAATGTGTGAAAAAAAAACGCGGGTGTCTCAAGCGACCCTCAAAAGATGTGAAAACATATATATGAGATTAGAATAATAATTTTATTAAAACGCAGAATTTAAAGTAAATATTATTAATTATCATATTAGGACAAGTGCTTTCATATGTTTGTAGGGTAGGTTTGATCATTTTTAAGAATCATATTTGTTCCAATTTTATTGTTCAGAACACAAAGAAATATTCATTTCAGTTATATATTTTGAATCAATTGAAGGTAATAGTTGACTTAAGTCTGAAATCACAAATAGAAATAGAAATTATGTTCTCAGTAAATGAAAAAATGAAAATTTATCAAATAACTATATTAATAGAATGAAATATTTACATAATAGTTAGGTATGCTATGAACATACATATTTATACTCTTATATTATATAAAAGTGACAAATAAATTGAATTTTAAAAAAAATATATACATATTCTTTAGTAGCATTATGTATTCTTTTATGATCTCTAAATCGTTGCTGTTTCTCAGCATTAATTTTTTGTTTGTGTAGTAGAGCAGTTTTTGATTGCTTAATGTATGTTTGTTATGAGTTTTTCAATTTCTCTATCAATGTCTGTTTTTGTGCTGATGTGAGGAATTTGGGTTGTGAGTTCCATTTCTAAAGTGAATTTTTTCCAATTGGTTTTTGTACGGGATCTTGGTGGTGAATTTGTCACTGGCGAATCTCAAATCGATAAAGTAATTGGATTATGGTCCGACGAGAGGTCACTGATATTGTTGAGTGAGTATTTCTGCAGTTGTATGTTAAGTTGAAGAATGTCCAAGACGTCTGGTTGATGGGCAGCGTTGAACAGGTAATAGGTCGGAGAGTCCGGAGCTGTAACTGTGTGCAAGTCATTAGATTCCATATAGAGGAGTAAAATATTTCCGGCAGTGTTTGTCCGTTGGCTGTTCCAAACGGTGTGTTTTGAGTTTAGATCACCGATCATGAAAGGTCCATTGTGGTTCGTTAGATCGTTGAGATCTTGATGTTGTAGCTTGTCCTTGGGGCTCTTATAAACTTCAGAAATTTGGACAATGTTGTTGTTTAATTTTAATTGAATAGTTGTCAAGTCTATCAAAGTCTTAATGGTGATGTGTTGATGGACGATGTTGCGTCGTACCAGAATTGAGGTGCCATCTGTTGTTGGTTTCCATGGAACAGGAGTGCGGTCAGTACGATAAGCGTAGAAGTTTGTTAGTGAGAGTTGGTGCTTTATTGACTTTGATCAGATCTCAGGCCTCTTCTCTTTTCTACAAAAACAGATTTTTAAGATACCGCCACATCAGAGAACTAGGACAACTAGCCCCCTTCTGTGCGCCACGGAATCAACCAATATCTAATAAGATGGATAGGCTATGGCCGCCTGGGATATTAAACGACGGTCGGTCATATAAGCAAATCAAATCAAAGGAGAGACACTTCTTCTAAAATCTTCAACGTCTCAACACTTACGGCAATCAAGCCAATTACCAGACAAGAAGACTCCGGACCACCAAAGAAGACGATACAATATCGCCGCTGTACGGCGACCAAGCATCGTACGGTCCAATAACCGTTCACGGAGACTGCCGACATACCAACGACCACGAAGAATAGTCCAGCTGCGAGCGGCCAAGTCGGAGGGACCAGACCATTAACAGGCAACTCGCTTACACCCACGGATAAGGATCCACAATAAAGGATTGCCCGTCAGCATGAGGCATTGGACTGCCGATCGACCCCGTAAGACACGACCCTCCAGCGCGCCTGCTTAGGCCATGCTCTACCGGTCAAGTCCCACTAGCGAACGCCACTTGCTTAAGCGGGCCCGACGTGTAAGACTCGACCCCACCCCTGCATCATTATATAGGCTTATATATCATATTCATGTTAATGTATGGGGCCTGAACCCTACTCCCCAAATCATTGTATATATTTACATTCATTTACATAGAAATAAAGATATTAATTTAATCCACATCATAACTTGGAGTTAAAACTTCATTCACGATCGGCAAGCATATCACGTGTGCGGTATCAATGTTTATACAGTTATAATATTATAAACAAATATGTACGTCTATATGGTGAGGTAAGAACTTGATCCATTAAAAAAAAAATACTAAATAAAAATATTAAAAATTATTCTAAAAAAAGATTCAAGACACCACACAAAATACTTATACAATAATACGAATGTACAAACCGGTTAAAAAAGTTATTTTGGTTTTATTATTTTACGTAATTAAAAATAATCTTAAACTGAATACGTACAAGTAGTATATATATACCAGTCCTGGCGCAGCACCTTTAATAATAATATATCAGTAAAAGATCACAAAGAAAACAATGTGCAAAAAGATCAGAAAATTGAAATGCAATAATAATAAAAACATTTTTCACAAAACTTATGAAATGCAATAATAATAAAAATATTTTCCGCAAAACTTAATTATTAAAAATAAAAATCGAAATGCAATAATAATAAAAACATTTTTCGCAAAACTTATTAAATACATTTTCACCCCAAAATATTTTTCATAATACTTATGATATTAATAATTAAAATATTTTTTAATAGAATTGTTCTATTAAAAAAAAGTCCAACAACAAACTAGTGAACATTAAATATAGTTTTCAAACCAATTATTCATTATATGATTCGATAATTCATTATGAATTTTCTTAAAATAATCAAATAATTTCTTAAAATTGTTTTGGTAACGATTGTAACTATACTTATTATCATAAGATTGATATAAAGATGATACATGAGTTTCTAAACTATACATAGATGATTCAATTTCTGATAACTCTTTTAGTATATTTTTATACTTTTGGATCATATCTAAATGATTTTTACAAGTTTCCATTTCTAAAAGTTTTTTACAATTTTCCATTTCTATTATTTATATTAGTAAAAAAAATTTTTTTAACATTGTTCTATTAAAAATATTTTTCTAATCTTTTTGATTTTGATTTCTAATCAGTGTATTGAGATGGTTTACAAAATCGTTTCTATCTATGTTTGTTTTATAATGTCCCCAAGCTAATGTATCAATACCATTTTCCAAAATAAATCTTTTATCATCATAAACACTTAAACCTTTTTTGTTTTGTTCTACAGTAAAAATATCATGTTTCTTGGTTCTAAATAAATTTTGTTTAACATATTTTGATTCTTTTGTTAGTAAACATTTTTCAAAATCATTAAAACATATTTTATTTTCTACAACATTTTTTTTAACACCTTTAGCTTTTTTAATTTCTTTTTCAGTATCTAAGATTCGATGAGAATATAATTTAGATCTTAAACCTATAAATTCAGACATTATTTTTCCATTTAATTCATCTTTAAACTTGCCTAAAACTTTTTTGTTAACTAAAGGTAAACCATAAATATTATCTTTAGGATAATCTGAAGTGTCAAAATGATCTAACATAATTTTCATATCTTGATAAAAATCTTTAGTTTTTATTTCTAATATTAGTGAATCTGTATCTGTATATAACAATCTAACTCTATTTACATATTTTTTCTTTATAATATTATAATAAAAATCATACATTAACATTTTAGATAAATCTAAAATACACATTCCTACATATATTGGTTGTTTGAAAGATATTTGTGTTCTTTTCATATGTACGGCAGCTAAATTTTCTGTAAAAATTGTCCTTCGATCAAAATTTGGTTTTGTAATTAATTTTTCTAGTTGGGCTGCATTAGAACATAATCTTATATCAACATGATTTCGAACATTCATCATAGTACGTCCATAAACACTATTATTCATTAATTTGAAAAATTCTTTTTCAAACTCATTCTTAGCTTCTAAGATTAGTATTAAAATCAATATAAACTTTTAACCAAGGAGATTGACTAAATTCTAATACTCTATGAATTTTATCTATCTTTAAACCTAAATTAATATATAATTTTAGTGTTTCATAATGTATTATATATTTTTTCTTATCATACAAAGTTGTTAATAATTTTGGGAGTTGTTTGTTATCAAAATGTCTTTCTGGTGCTAAAGGGAAATCTGAATGTAGATCATGAAGTTCTTTAGGGTAAGATAAATCAACTTCTAAAATATAACCTTTACATGATTATCAGAAATATTCATTAC